GTGCCATAGGCGCTGTCCATAGACAGGGAGCGGCACTGGGGGTCGGGCTCCATGCCGCCGGGGTCCGCGGGGCCCCCCGCCCTCTTCCTCTGGACCTCGGGCTCTGTGTGGAGCCGCTCCTGGGCCCCTGGCGTGCTGGGGCGTGGGGAGCCTGCCTCCCCCCTGCCGACGCGCCCCGCCCTCTCCGGCTCCGGGGACGACGAGCTCTTGCCCTCCTCCATCACCACCACCGCCAGCGTCTCTGTGGAGCTGTCCGACTGGCTGTGGCCAGGACAGAGACAGAAAAGCCATTTCAGTTTTTCTTTGACAAGTTTACAGTGAACGCTGCCCTATTTTTTTTGAACACCTGCAGAGATTGACTGCTGCTGGACCCAGCTGATGTCTGAAGTCAGCCGGAGATGGAGCTGTGTGCAGGCGTGACAGTCCGGCGCCGTCCTGCAGATACCTTACCTGTTGCTCTCGTTCTGCTGTTCCTTGTGCCGCAGGCAGGGGGAGCTGGTGGTCGAGTTGCTGCTCTCCTCCCCCTCCAGGTCCAGTCTCTGTCGGAGTGTGACTTCTTTGCGCTGGGACTCTTCGGACTGCAACCGCTGTAGGAGATTCTGTGCGTGCACACACACACACCAGCACCAAGGTTACCATCACACACTGCGCATCATTAACAGTGACAACACCTGTTCACTACTGCCTTGAACAGCTGCTCGAGCCTGGCTTCGTATATATCGTATCTGGGTGCATTCGAGAGAATTCACAGTATTTCTACAGATTCATTTACACAAACTGGCAGCCTGTGAGCGCAGTAACCATGTGTGTGTTTGTATTAACTTATGCAAATAATGCATGATTGGACTTCTGCACCTTTTTGTTATTTTCTTGTCAGTGTCTGCCTTTACCCCTGTAAAAAACAGCACTGTGCCTTCCACATTCCCTATACAGTTTCCAGCAACGTACAGTCATTTGTAAAAGGAGGTACTGTACTTTTATTCTGCAACAGAAACAGATTTACTTCAGTGCCATCTGTTGGACAAAATATGAACATGCCCATTTGTTAAAGCCATTGCAAATGCAGTTTAAAATACAGGGGCAGGAAAAATGTATGAATTTATATGAATGGGTGTTGCCCAAGGATATCAGAGAGTCACCTTCTCTAAACTCCTTCAAATCCAGACTCAAAACCTTCTTTAGAAAAGCCTTTGCTTAACTGTTCCATTCTTCACACCTCTGCTTTTCTTAGTACCACCATCCTCAGTCTCCTCCGTATATTGTAATTGTTTTATCTTATGTATTCTTTTTATTTATTGTTGTTAACATTCTGTAAAGCGCTTTGAGAAGCCACCTTTAAAGGCGCTATATAAAATAAATATTATTATTATTTTAAACATGAATTCTTAGTCTAACATTACGTAAACTGGATCCTTTTTTTTTCTTTGTGCAGCATCATCAATAGTAGACACAGCTGATTGAAGATGCTGAACAGAAATCGCTTATTCCTGCTAAGCAGCCTGGAGGCCATCCAGGAAGCAAGGACTGCACCCAGAAACAAGAGCTGTGAGGCTACAGAGCACAGCAGCATGCCACTGTGACACCCAGCACACACATCGCTGCCGGATTGAGTTTTTTAATTCTGATAATGAAATAGCATCAGCAAATCTTTGTCTGGTATGTGCATGTTTAAATAAAAGCAAACTGAAAATCCTTATGCGCACTTTTGCATGCGTTGTAGTCTGAGATTTCCCCCATCTGCACACGTGTGTGTGTGTATGTGTGAGTGCAGGAGACGTGTGGCAGGCAGTGTGAGGGACTCGTACCTGCGCGTTGCAGATGGCTTCAATCCAGCTGCGCCCCTGGGCGGCGCTGTTGGCCTGGAAGGAGTATGCTGCTACTGCGCTTCGGAACTCGTTGAGGTAGATTAGGAGGAAGGAGCCTGGAGACAGAGAGGGGACCGAAGTCAGCACCACGCCGGGCATCGGCCAGGTCAGGGCTGGGAACAGAAGCCCCAGTGCACTGTGGGTACCGGGCAGGCCACTCACCTGGGTCCTTGAGCTCCCGGCACACCACGTTGTGTATGAGCAGCGGCTGCCGGATCACCTTGGCTCTCTCCACCCGCTTCACCGGCTTGGTGATGAGCAGCAGGTCAGTGAACAGGAAGCAGTACACGTCCATCTGAGGGGGGAGCAGGGGGCAGGCAAGGAGTCACTATCCCCGTCACCTCGGGCCCTTTCCCTGATTGATGCATCCATCCATCCATCCATCCCCCCATTTTCTAACCGCTTCATCCAATACAGGGTTGCAACGGAGCCAGAACAATTGACGAGTCTGAATTTGTTAACGCTTTCAACTAATCCTGTTGATCTCGATGCCCACTTGCTGCATTTTTAACACCCCTCACTGTATAGACCCTAGATTCCCTCGGGCAGATGCAGTGCTTTCGGCTGCGATCCAGTGCTTGAACGTGCACTGCGTGCTCTTACCCGGCTGTCCCTGCCCTCCTTCATGCGCAGGGGCCCCTCCAGGTGGAGCTGGCGCGTGTGGTCAGGGGAGGTGCCCATCATAGGCGCGGTCAGGTCGAACCGGCTGAACTCCCGCAGGATCTGAGGGTCAGAGAGGACGCGCTGACTTATGGATCGCCAACGACCTCGTGGCAGTGTAGCACCAGAGAGCCTCCATAGCCCCCCTGTGACTGAGCGGAGCCGCACTGTCACGAAAAGCAGGAGGAGCGTTCGAGCAGGGCGGCCCAACCCCCCAGCCCCTCACCTTCTCCACCTCCTCGCTGCCCCCCTCCATGGCCTCGTAGGGATCGATCCTCCCGGTCACCGTGGCCAGCTTCTGCTGCTCCTGCTGCTGGCGCATCTGCGCATCCACGCTGTTAATGAAGCCCTCCACGGACTCCACCTGGGACAC